CCCTCTGGGCTCTTCCCCTCTGGGCTCTTCCCCTCTGGGCTCTTCCCCTCTGGGCTCTTCCCCTCTGGGCTCTTCCCCTCTGGGCTCTTCCCCTCTCGGCTCTTCCCCTCTGGGCTCTTCCCCTCTGGGCTCTTCCCCTCTGGGCTCTTCCCCTCTGGGCTCTTCCCCTCTGGGCTCTTCCCCTACCTTGTCTTCTGTTGCTGTCAGTGGCTGTGTCCTCCAGTTTTGTGATGGTTCCCGTTCTTTAGCCTTCTGATTCAGGTGTCACCTCTTGGTTTCCCCTCACATCCAGGTGCCCCCACTCTTTATACCTTTTTATTGTTCCCAGGTACACCCAGCTTCTTCTGAGGCAGTTATTGCCTTTTTCTTTTGAACCTTTTACAAGTTGTTCTTAACGTACAAATCACCCCTTCTTTTGTTTCCTATTAATATACACACATTTCCCATCTCTAATGTTAAGTCTGATCATCTGCGCAAAGTAACCAGAGCACAGCTGAACATAGTTCATTGAAATTCAACTAATACAGCCAATATTTCTTATATGAGAGCCCATGATCTAGAGCAGAAATGTACTGTTTCGTACCATCAGCTGGTCAGTGGTTCCTGCTTCCTCGTCCACTGCTCACTGGATGGGAGCCATCATTTCTCCCGGGTGTGGGCTCAAGCAGTAGCTGTGAGGCTTCCTGGGCTTCTCGGACTGGTCGCAGGATGAACACATGCTGAATTGGCGACACTCCACACTTTGGGGCACATTAACCGAATCAGGGGCGAAAACTCTTGTGTTCGTGCCAAGTATCTTTTGTAAACTCCTGAGACACACAGAGCCCGGTAAGGCGAGCGCTTCCTCCATGGGTGGGCCCCGTGTATTACAGTGCCCATGTCCCCTCCCAGGGCTCCTCTTCAGCTGTGGTCCCCACTGGCCCCCTTTTTCAGCACCTCACCCTTATTCTAAAGGGAACAGGCCATCACCCGCAGGTGAGTTTATGAGGCTCACCTGCCTTCTGTAACACCATTTGGCTGCTCCCGACCCATGCACCGGTTTTTGGTTTGTGTAAGTGGCTTTTTGGTCGGGCTCCTTGCTTGTCTGCAGAGTACCTCACACAAAGCTGCCCTAGGCCACCCCCCTGGGGTGTACATATGTGATTACGCACCCAGGGGTCCCGCAGTCTTACCATCAACCTGCCAGCATTCCCCAGCCTTCTGGCGGGAGCGTTAGTTCATCCGTTTTTTTTCCCTTGCCCAGCAGTGTGTGGGCTTCAAGTGATTCGTGGTTTTCTGCCTCAGGGGTCGTGGGCTGGTCAGCTCTTGGCCGTCTCCTCCGCAGGAGAGCTGGGCCTGCAGCCCCCCAGACGCCACCTATCATCTGTGTAGCTGCAGCATCTCCCCGCAGTTCCTGGCCTTTGGTCATCGTGTGCTGCCAGGTAGCTGCCAGGGGCTTCCTCAGCTCTGTTTGCAGAGCTGTGAGGGAACACTCCACCCCAGCCCTCCTCCAAGCAAGCGCCATGTCTACCCGGTGCCTTCCCCACCATGGGCAGGCCGCCCCACCTGCACCAGGGACTCGGGAAGCACCACAGAGGCCAGCTGGCCACTCAGCACTGCACACGCAGGGGTGCCCCCCACAGCACCCCTCACGTCTATCAGAGGGCTGAATCCTACCACCAGCGCCAAGTGTAGTGCCAGGCCTGCAGGGCATCGGGTGGCCCAGCGAATCCTCCTGCTCTCCGGCGTTCCCTCGTGGTCGCTCCCTCTGGCAGCCGTGGCTCCGCCGTCCTCCACCGCACCATGGTCTGGCGCACCCCGCCCTCCGTGACGCCTCTCTTATAGGCACTGCCTCGGCTCAGATGTGCCCGGTTACGCACGCCCACACACACCCCAGCTGCCCACCGTCAGGCATGCGCACCCGAGCCCACGCACCCGAGCGCCTCCTGCATTCACGGCCTCAGGTGTTAGCCACAGAGGCCAAAGGCAAAAGCCAGCGCAATCTTCATCAGCCTCCATCGCCAGCACCTGGCCTTCTGTTCTGAGTGGCCGCTCTTCCATTTGCTTGATATGTTGAGTTGATCATTGGAAAGTCACATTTTGTGGCAAACAAGCCCTCATTCAAGCACATGCCCTTCTGAATTCTCTGTGCCCTCCCTTTCTGCAAATGTGAGAAGCCAGCATTGATGGATAGTGATTTCTAAGATGCCTGCTGGACAGAAGTCCAGTATGATCCCAACCTCAGCTTAAGTTGAGGGGTCAGAAGCCACCCCTAAATAAAGCTCCTCTCCTGCACCTCTCTTCTGTTTCAGGAGCTGTCTGCAGGAACTGGAGAGGTCCTTCTGTCTATCAGCTACCTCCCAGCTGCCAACCGCCTCTTGGTCGTGCTGATTAAGGCCAAGAACCTCCACTCTAACCAGTCCAAGGAACTCCTGGGGAAGGGTGAGTGAGGTGTGAAGGAGAGAGCCAAGGTCCCCCCCCCGCCCCAGGCTCCGGGAACAAGTGCAGAGACATGGTACCAGCAGGCAGTGGGACAGGTGTGCAGAGAGGTGAAACATGAGTACATTTGTGAGTCATCCCCGCTGTATCCTGTACCCCAAACCACAAACCAATTTTGGAAGACTCCCTTTTTTAAATTTGTGTTTCTTTCCTCCTCATTAGTCCCACTCATCAGGACCCAAAGGGGAGCTACCTGGGGCTCTCTACCTTACTAATCAATCAGAGACAAATCAGCATCACATTGGTCCCAGGAAGCCAAGGATCAGCAACCAGGTAGCCAGAGTGTAGGGCTTCTGGGTTGTGGAGTAAGTTGCCCTTCCCGCACCCCATCACTGAGACCTGGCAGATATTGGGTAGCCCAGTCCCCTCCCAACTCAGCTCACCGCCACTGTGCTCCCCATACCCACCCTGGCTCTGTTTCTGAACCCCTTGCCAACTTGCCACCCCCACACCCGCTGAGAGTAGGTGAAGCAAAAGGTGTGTGCACAGCCTGAGACGGCCTTAACGAGGGCATCCGTGCTCCGTCTACCCCAATAAACAGCCCTTGACATTCTCAAAGACATGGTGTTTCCTTCTGCATACCCCAACATGGGCCTAAGCCTTGGGGGCCAAGTGGAAATCTTGTGAGAGCAGTGTGAGGCCTGGACCTGCAGCCACGTGCTCGTAGCAAGAGCCTAATCAATGGATATTTACAGCAAGATAGAAATACAGAATTGCCACTGAGCTCAGAATCTGTGGACAAAACACCAGGGGCAAGCAAAGCCAGAAGAATCCGTCCTGCTGACAAATCCCCATGCCTGGGCCAGAACGCAGCCTTTCCCTCATGGCCTCCCGACCATGTTTGGCCTCTGCTCGTTTTTCAGTAGCCCCTCTCAGGACTGTGGACCCCTCTCAGGAAGTGTCTCCACTGAAATAATAAACCCATCACCCTGGGGGTGAGGTAGCCATAAGCACAGAATAACAGTTATGTGCACTTCAGGGGCCTTGACTAACACGAAGCATCACCAGGGCCCTGGGCCTCATGGTGTCACCTGCTGTCTGGCCTGGTGACCTGTTGGCAATGCCCACTCTCCACTGGAGGTCAGAACCTTCCAGGAGGCATATGGAAGAACAGAGGAGACGAATTCACCAAGCACAGGCCTGCCCTTTGGGAGGGACCGGAGAGGGTGAACGCAGGGTGAGTTCTCTGGGGAGAGTTTAAGATCAAGCTGCAGCACACCTGAGCCAGTACCTGGGCCCAGTTTGCTGTGGGACTGGAAGACGCTTAGAAAGGCTCATGGCGACTCAGGCAATCACCGACTCAGTGATGGGCCACCCAGGCGTCCGCCTTGTGTACTATGTGAGTGTCTGTTTTCCACACCTGAGCTTAAGGTCTACGAGGCAGGAGCCTTGGCTGTACCCCCAGAGTAGGCCAAAGGGTGGGATTTAATGTATGAATGCATGACCCAGTGAGGCTGGAGGGAGCCTCAGCGCACATGTTGAGGCAGACACCTGCTCTCTGCAGCCCCAAGAGAGCATCTTCCCAGGCTCCACCACGTCTCAACTTGCTGTTGCTTCTCTCCCCCTCCCCAGATGTCTCTGTCAAGGTGACCTTACAGCACCAGGCCCGGAAGCTGAAGAAGAAGCAGACCAAACGGGCCAAGCACAAGATCAACCCCGTGTGGAACGAGATGATCATGTTCGAGCTGCCCGACGACCTGCTGCAGGCCTCCAGCGTGGAACTGGAGGTGCTGGGCCAGGACGAGGAGGGGCCGAGCAGCGTGCTGGGCCGCTGCAGCCTGGGCCTGCAGGCCGGGGGCTCTGAGCGCAGCCACTGGGAGGAGATGCTCAAGAACCCGCGCCGGCAGATCGCCATGTGGCACCAGCTGCACCTATAGCCGGCGCCCGCCCGTCCACCCCAGCTGTCTTCTGCCACCTCCTCTTTGTGCCCATCCTCATTCTGCCGCCCAGGAGACAGACATGTCGGCAAAGGCCGGTCTTTAACCCCTCTCTCGTCACACTCCTGTTTCCCCAGTGCGGGAATAACACCCTGCGGCCAGGCTCAGCAGTGTGTCTGGCCTCCCTGCTGCTCCACCATCTCAAGTGCAGCCCAGGTGCAGCTTTGGCAGGTAGGGTCAGGCATGCAGAGAAAGGGGGAGAGTGGACCCACGAAGAGAAAGCGTGCTTTAAATAAGCATTGCAGAAAGGATAAGAGGAAGAAAAGGATCCTTGACCCACTCGACTCGCAGTTAGAGACTGTCAGGGAGGGAGAAGTCTTAGCCATTGAGTCACACTCCTGACCCAAGGCTGTGACCCAGCAGCTCCCAAACCTTGCTGTGAGGGTGGTCAGCAGGCTCCTGGGCCCAGCTGTCCACACTGCAAATCAGTAGCCCTGGCCAAGACCCAGGAGCCTGCACATTCACAAGCCCTGGGTGGTTCCCTGCTGAGACCAGCTCTGCATTTGGAGAAGCTCCTGCTAGGAGCTTCCAGAACGGTTTTCACAGTCCTTGTCAGGCCCTCCACACTTTGGGGGCAGCCAGCACCCCTCGCTGGACATGTCAACCACTCAGTGTGAAATTTGGGGGCCTCTGGTTTTTATTTAATTAGTGCAGTGATTAATATTTTCATCTGTGCTTTCAGACTCTGTTCTTGGACTGAATTTTGTGCTTTTTTTTTATTGAGTAACTTTACTGTTTTATCTCAAAGCAGTTCGTGTCCTATCTTGGGGAACACTTCCCTGACCTTACGGTTGGGGTCCCCTATTGGTCAGTGGACTAGCTTCTGAGCCCCAGTTCACACCCACCAGCATCACGAGAGTGACTCTCTGAGTCAACCCAACGCTTCTCAGCAATCCAGCCACTTCCTGAGGAGTTCAGTTTTGGGGGGCAGGTTAGTCGATTACACCTGGCTATGTGACGGTTGGAAGGAAGATTGACTAGGAAATGAAGTTTTTTGCACTGTCCTGCTCTCCCTCAGCTTCTGAGACTTTCACTTTAATGAATTAATAGACGTCAGCGAGATTTCAGGTTCCTACCTTATGATTCCAAGTCGCTGTCCACAGCATTGATTAAACTTAAAAGATGGGTTTTGCTCAGTGGATGTGGTATCTGCCTGTGAGCCAGGATTCCAGGTTCTCTGGTTGACCACCTGCAAAATAATATGGGTGACACAGCGGCTCTTTGTGAATGGTAAGAGAGATGAAGTTGTCCCCCGGAGCTGGAGGCTCCCGGACTAAAAACAAAGTGAATCTACCAACAAATCGTCTGTAAGCTGTAAATTGGCACCTGGCAATGCCTAGAAAGTTCCAGAATCATCCCAGGAATCTCCAGAACCATGGATCTGCATTGAGATGCTTCAATACGGGTATCCAAATTCTGGATCTTCCGCTGTCACACCGACCCCCTGATCTAAACATGAATGCTAGACAAGATGGGTGAGGGTGGCCTCCTTTCCTTCAACAAGTCAAGCTGTTTCGGCCTCGCCCAGAGAATCTGAGGAGCATTATCATCTTTGATCACAGTTTGCCCTTTCTGTACAGAAGTAGAGAAGCATTAGAAGTAAGTTCAACTCATCCTATGATAGAACAAAAAAAAAGCCTCTTATTCCTCTTTAATAGAAAAATCTCTCGGACAATTAGAAATCTTGATAATTAGGATCGACTACCTCCTGCCAAATGTTTGTGTTAGTGATTTCCTTTGACATGTTTTTGAGACACGTTCACCACTTGGGCCCCCCTTTTTTAGGCTGGCATGCTAACAAAGAACAAAAGATCCCCATGGAAGCTCACCAGTATGCTCATCTACTGTGACGAGAAAAATCGATTGGGCACTTAACATCAAGAGACATGGATTCCACATCCTTCGAAGCCCAGACACCTGTCATATAGTCACACCAAACCGTATATGTGGGCAGCTGGACAGGACCCCTGTTCCCAGAAATATCAACCCTCCCGTGGCCCCTCCATCATGACACATTCGCTTCTTCGGATCTCCACGGTTACATTTTCCAGAATCCTAAGTACAGTTTGCCTGGGATAGGAGCCAGATTCTACCACTGAACACTTTAAGTTTCAGCCACCACGTGACTTATCAGTGAGGTACAGAGATGAGGTAGGTTGGGGGGGGGTTGCCTGTTGTGCTCCCTGGTATATCCCAAGTACCCTAAGAATGCTGCTGACATGGGCTTTCCAGAAATATTTCTTGAGTGAACTAAGAAATGATGGGAAGGCAGAAAAAGACCGAAAATCAGAGTCATGGCTGAGTTCTCAATGGCAAATGCATCAGATTCTCCACAGTTGACCTAGAAATCCACGTTATTATCACTCACCTAATGATAATTCATAGCTCCCTGTGTAAATGGAATATACAAGAACATAATCACTGTGCTTTTCTACCAATTCTCCGTCTTGGTGAATTTTACATTACTCAGAGATGTCAGACTGCCAAATTGAAAGATGCTAGTAATCTTGGCATCAGCTTACCTTGAACCAGACACATTTGCAATTTACTACAAAATGAGAATAACTGAGTCTGGTGAGTGCATCTGATCACTTTTTGAAAGGAACACCTTAGATTTTGCCAGGGAGCATTTTCTGCGAAGAGTGAAAATAAAATGAGAAACCATCTCAGCCAAAGCTACTTCCACAGAGCGACCTGTTCTCTTACAGAGACAGAAGTGGGACATCGGGGGCCACCCTCATTCATCTGTGACTCCACTTCCTGCATCAAATCAGTATCTGTTAGTTCAGTGCCTATTGATCGATCGTCCTTTTCAGTAGAGATACTACCTACTCTTAGTGTCGGTCAAGTGACTGTTCAACCCAAATGACACCCTGTGGGGAGCCTCAGATGGGAAAGCAGTTTTGAGGGGCAAATCCTTTGCGGTATAAAAACATCCTGGGTGGACGTGGCTGCAAACCAAGCCAAACTGAGGTGAAGACCACCCAAAGAGACACTTGGTCCTTGTGGTTTGTTTCTACCACCCACGTTTCCTGTTGTCAATGCTCAGTGTCTGTGTGTGTGTGTCTGTGTGTGTGTGTCTGTGTGTGTGTGTGTGTGTGTGTGTTACAATCATGAACCGAAGCACAAAGACGCATGAGACATTGTAGTGGTGTCTGGTGTCACACTTTAGAGCAAAAACCATCCAGTGGTAAATAAATCATTTCCAACAGGGTCATCTGCCTGGTGTTTTCTTTTTTTCCTTCTCAATATCCAGGGCATATAAAATGCTGAAAAGATCATTTGATCATTGCTTACAAACTATTTAATGAAACTGGCTACATTCAAGTACGGTTGAAGTCTTCTCAGTCTTTCACTCAGGAGACTACTGTCTTGAACTTGGGGTTGATCACCCAAGCATTTCTTTCTCTCTCCACCGCTTCTATATGTAAATTCTAAGCACTACAAAGTATTTTTTTGCATGTTTTCAAATGTATTTGAAATGCATCACACTGCAACCATATGCCACTTAGTGATGTCTCAGTCAGTGACAGTTCTCATGTACAAAAGTGTTTCCATTTGACCACCCACCCCATCCGGTCTAGGCATGGAGTGGGCTAGACCTTCTAAGTGTGTATAATTACACTCTATGTGTTCCCATAATAATGTAATCATCCAGTGAGCATTTCTCAGCAGTCATTTAGCTACATGTGACTTTCACCTTGCTCCACAATAAAATTTTGAGCTTGATCCAACAGATATAGGAGCTATAGGTCATTTGCTTTTTTGCTGCTGTATAATATTCCATTGTGTGTATATGCCACAATCCCTTCTCCCTCTGGTGTACATTTAGATTTCTTTCTTCATCCATGAAATACTGCTGTGAACATTCTTATGCACGTCTCCTTGGGAATGTGTGTGCACGTTTCTCTATGATGCCCACCCAGGATTGGGTTGAATTGCTGGGTCACAGAGTGCTCTGTGTATGGGCACATGTGTTTAATCATTCAGGAATATGCCTAATGCTCATGCTTGAGCACTGACTCAAAGGGTCTGAGTACAAGCAGAGATGCAAGCTTTGACTATTCTTGAGATGAACAATCAGGTAGAGACAAAGGCATTCTTCCTCCAACATCCCCAAAAGAAATACTCTCATTTCTAGAAAAGACACTGTAATAGCCAATGGTTCCCTGCACTCCAGATGACAGGAAGGGATGGAGGAACTTCCTAAGTCCTGTCACTCTAGGCCCTCCTGGTGGCTACCATGGCCCTGGCCTCCCGACGAAGAGACTGGCATTAAGCAAGAGGCAGGACCTAAATGTGAACATCAGTTGGAGATCAGCCAAATCATGTAAATTTAAATCAAAGAAGGATAAAGATTTGAATTTAAATTTAAATCAAAGAAGGATTCTCAGGAAGGATAAATGACCCTTAAAGAAACTATGTGATGTCTCTGCTGTCATTCTTCTATATTGTATGCATATATTATTCTATTTTAATGACAACAAGGATTGTTGTTTTCATAGGAAGAAAGAAGTGGGTCTTTGGCCACGTGACCAAACAGCATGAAGACTAGGTTTCTCAGATAACTAAGAATATGGTTCACCTGAACCTAATGTGTACGAATCTCACATACATGAGACATGCAGTTGGGGAGCAGTTCATTAACCCTGTCAACCCTTAAGTAATAAACTCTGCCCCTGCACAGAACATGCACTCCAGGCAACTGGAGTTCAAGCTGCTAAAAGCACTGCAGCCCGGCCTGGCTGAGCCACTGGCCACCTTCACAGCCGGGCCACGGTCTGCTCTGGGTCTCAGTTTCCAGTCCTGTAAAATGGG